TGGTGATTAATCTTTGACCAGATCCGTCAACAGGGTCTCGCTGATCTGAACCCAGAGTCTGTCTCTGTGTAACTCCTGTACCCCAGGTCTAATGTGATGAGCCTAGGACTTCACTGCAGTGTCTCCCTCACAGGAAGCCCCTCTGGGCCCAGTGTCCCCTCCCTGCTTTGAATGCAGTCAGACTGCTGAGCACGGAGATGGGCTTCATATGGGCCACCACTGTTGAGTCAGGAGACCAGACCATGATGGAGACTTCCTGCTGCTCCTCAGAGATCAGAGAAGACTGATCACAAAACTTGGAGAAAATGAGCCCCAGAGAGAGCAAGAGGATTCCTGGTGCCACACCGAGGGGCACTGGCTGGATTGGGCAGTGGCAGCCCCACATCTTTGGTCTCTGATGCAGTGCTCTATGCATTTGTGCCATACTGCCTTCCTCCTGCAGAAAAGCCACTGGCTCTTTAGATGCCATGCCAGCCCTGGGGTGGGCCAGGCCTTCTAGAGCACAGCAGGAGCCAGCATGCTGAGGATAGAGTACTGGGGGAGGGACAGCCAGGGTCCACCAGAGACCCACTTGTGACCACCCCTGACGTTCCCTCTTCTAAGTCACTGCACTTCAGCCACCAACCCAGGTTTGTCCTCTGGCCTGAATATAAGTTCCTCACTGACCTCTGCTCTTGTCCCTCAACAGGAGGACAACATGGCCTTTGGAAAGCCTGCCAAGTAAGTGATGAACACCCATGTGACTGGCCCTAGAGGCAGGTTGCTCCTGCCCGGGTGGGCCAGGCCTTCTAGAGCACAGCAGGAGCCAGCATGCTGAGGATAGAGGGACAGCCAGGGTCCACCAGAGCATGGCAGCCCCATACAGAAGAAAGGGAAGGGACTTGGTCAGGGTCACACAGTTAGGAAGTGGCAGAACTGGGACTCACACTCAGGTCTGTCTCCCTCCAGACTCACTTTCCTGCCCTTTGGGAACAAGTGAGCCGTGGAAGGTAGAGGAGAGGCATTGTTTGGACCTCTACTGGGAAGTGCTGGCTGGAGAGAATAAAAACAGTTAAGCCCTCTGGGAGCTATTGCTGGTTTGGTTTGGGATGTTTGGTCTTCATCTTTACAGTCTGGGTGTCCACTTCAGCTGCGGGCCTGGTGACGGTGTCTCAGTCATCAGTGTCCTCAGGTGACCTGTTGCCCAAGGCTGCACTGGAGGAAGGACTGGGCCAAGGAGGAGTTGGTGTCCCACACAGCCGAGATGCCCTGGAACAGAGCTTCCTCAGGCAGGTGGCAGTGTAGTCCAGGAGTCTCTGGGCCACCAGGTGTTCATTGGCAGGCTGCTTTTCAAGGACATTTTTAAGGGCACCATTTTCCAAGCAGTAGCCCCCTAAGTGGCCCCATGATCTCTAGACTTCTCTACCAAGCCATTTCCCTACACAGCAGCCAGGGGGCACCCTGACCTCCCAGCTCTCCCAGGCCTGAGACCCACCGGGCACTCTGTTGCTTAGAACAGCAATTCTCACCCACCTTCAGGTTTATGGGCTTTAGCGCCATCAGCTTCCCTCCCATTCAGCCTGGCAAGCTGCATAGGAGACTGCGGGAGAGTGCTTGCTGCTGAGTAAACTCCTCGTGTGATGTGGCCCCACCTGCATCGCCAGCCTCCGCTGCCAGCAGCATTCCATCACCGTGTTCCTCCTTCCACAGTCTCCAGGCGGGCTCAGTCACTTCTGTTCTGGGACACACTGCAGTTTTATGCCTCTCACTTTGCTTAAGTTATTCCCTCAGCCTGGAATTCACACCTCTTCTTTCTATGCCTGTCTCACCCTCTTCCTTCAGACCAGTCCCAGGTGTCACCTCCAGGAAGCCTTCTCTCACCCCTTCTTAGTCTCTTCTGGCTGCCATAACAAAATATCATCGACTGGGTATCTTAGAAACAACAGAAATGTATTTCTCACAGTTCTGAAGACTGGACAATCCCGGTGCAGGTGCTGGTAGAGTCAGTGTCTAGCGAGGGCCTGAGGTGCCTTCCCACTGTGTACCCATGTGGTGGAGGCAGTGAGGGGTCTCCCTCAGGCCTCTTTAATAAGGACACTGATCCCATTTATGAGGACTAATCACCCTCTTGGTCCTAATCACCCCATGACCTAATCACCTCCCAAAGGCCCCACTTCCTCATACCATCACCTTAGTTGGTAATATTTCAACATATGAACTTGATGGGGACACAGACTTTCAGATCGTAGCACCCCAACTTCGTTCTGTATCCCCCCAGGATCCACCATGGCACCAAGCACCTCACCCTGTGTCACAGTTGTCTGCTACACATTTGCCCCATATCCAGCTTATTGCACACCTCGACACCCAGCTCAGGCCGGGGCACAGGGCAGGCCTCAAAGGTCATGCTTAGAGCCGCGGGCACAAGGGAGCTGAGCCAGTGTCCAGAGCCCTTTTCTCTCCCCAGGTACTGGAAGTTGGACCCTGCTCAGGTCTATGCTAGCGGGCCCAACGCATGGGACACGGCTGTGCACGACGCCTCTGAGGAGTACAAGCACCGCATGGTAGGTGGACTGGGGCGGCGCCAGCACTCCCAGGCGGGGACCAGGGGGAGGCTCCCCCACAGCCTGGCCTGACTAGCCCTTCCGGTGCCTCCAGCACAATCTCTGCTGTGACAACTGCCACTCACACGTGGCATTGGCCCTGAATCTGATGCGCTACAACAATAGCACCAACTGGAACATGGTGACACTCTGCTTCTTCTGCCTGCTCTATGGGAAGTACGTCAGGTGAGCTGCCCTCCTGCCTGGCCACCTACGTGCTGCCCAGGGGCTGCTCTCCCAAGGATCCTAGAAAGACCATTCCTGGCGTCCTTCAGTCAGCCGGGACAGATGCCAGTTGGAGCCGTGGTGGCTCTAGAGTGGTGAGCTGAGGGCCTGGTGGAGAGGGAGGTGGCTGTGCTGAAGTCCAGCTCCACCTGGGCCCCAAGTACAGCTCTGGCACTTGCCCGCTGTGAGACCATGGGCAACTGCCTTGGCCTCTCTGAGCCACAGCTGCCCTTGGTGAAATGCAGGCAATGATTCTGGCTCCTCAGGGAAGCTTCTACAGATTCCTGTGCTCCAGTAAAGCAAACAGACAGATCCTCACAGAATGACTGCCCCCATAGGTCCCTTCCCAGGCAGAGAGGTTGAGTGAGTCACCCATGGTCCCCACAGCATGGCCACAGCAGAGCCCAGACTCGTGAGCCAGCATAGGCTGGTGCTGATCTGGCCGCCTCTCCAAGCTTTCCTCTCAGCCATGTTCATCATTAAGAGCTTCTGAAAAGAAGACTTTTAGGAGGTATTTTTAAGTCCTGCAGGGCTTTTAGAAGTCCCCTGAGAATAACTGTGGTCACACAGAGGTTGAATCCAGGCCCCTGGCTCCCAGCAGCTTGGCTGCAGCCACAACACTCTGCTGACCCTTGCCGGCCCCAGGCCTACTGGTAGTCCCCATTATGAGGGCCATGGGCAGCAGGCACACGTGGCTTCCAAACCCAAACTGCAGTTCCTGGTCCTCTTGCTGGAGACCTCCCCAGAGGTGGGTGGCTATAGATAGAGCCAGTGAGGCCTAGAAATGGCGAGCATGTCTTCTGATCCCAACCAGTGAGGTGTCAGTAAATCTCCACCAGGAATGTGGAGCAGCCCCACCCCAGGACCATAGCTGGTGATTTCCCCATAGTGGGCACCAGGCCCAGCCTGCTCCCTCGATTGACCAAGTTTGGGGTGAGGGGGTGGGTACAGGATTTTCCTTAGGGATGGAAGCCTCTTGGGGTCTGTGGGTGCACAGGGCTCTGGGCTCCACGCCTGCTCACGACTCCACCCACCTGTGCTCTATCCTTTCTCTCTGTCAGCGTCGGGGCTTTCGTGAAGACCTGGCTGCCCTTCATCCTTCTCCTGGGCATCGTCCTCACTGTTAGTCTGGTCTTTAACCTCCGGTGATGGCTGTCCATTGGCCCTGCACCCACCAAGGTCCCGAGGAAACAGCCACCGTTCCCTTTTGTTTCCAGATTTTTTTCTCCTCACCCCAAAAGGCAGGCCTGCTATTGTGGACCAGGGGTTGGGGCTGGCAGGATGGAAGGGTTGAGGACCAGCATGAGGCGAGGTTTGCACCTCTCAGAAGCACCCTGTCCCCTCATCCCCAGGCCTGTGACTCTGGCCCTGGAGGCCCCCTTTGTTCCTCTGTTGAAAGGCTTTGGCTTTCCTCTGTAGAGCTGCTCCTGCCACTGCCTGCTGGGCTCCTGCCTCAGCCCAGTGCCCAGTACAGGGAGGGGAGGGCATTTAGGCTCACCTGACAAGGTGCCCTGGGACCAGAGCTGGATTGGGAGCCTGTCCTGCATTAGCTCTGGTCCCAGCATGGGATGAGGTACACTTAGGAGTCTCTATAAGTGAAGTTGCCCTGGAGCCTTCCCCACTGGCCTCTAGAATGATCCAGGGAGGCTGGCTGGGCCCCTTTGTCAGACTTCTGCCGGCAGCTACCCAGGGGATATGTGTGCCCATCTGACATTCTCCAGCCCCTGCAGTTCCCTCTTCACTCTCCCAGGGCCTCCCAGCATTGGGCCCATCTCCCTTTGCAGTTTGGAGCTGGAGAGGCGAGGAGTAGAGCTGACAAGTGCCAGAGTGACCCTTTAGAGAGAGCAGTGTAGACAGCTCAGCCCCAGCCCCAGGTATGGACCTCACACTGGTGATGGCTCCCCTGGGTCCAAAATATATTGGTGATGGCCCCCCTGGGTCCAAAATATATTGGTGATGGCCCCCCTGGGTGGCCTGCCAGCACAGCCAGTGCCATCAGGGAGCTGGAGGGACTGTCCCCCACCTGACTCCAGCTCCCCCTTTTTTCTCATTGTCACCAATGCCCTGTGCCACCTGCCTCGCACCCCTGCTCCTTGGATTCCTTTGGGAAGGGTTCCCTGGGTAGGACAATAAAGAGTTTTGGCTCCAGTTGCTGCCCTGCCATTGTTTTCTCTCTCTCTGGTCCCCCCTTACCCCTCAGCTCATAGAGTATTGGTATTCTTGGGACCCTCTGTCCCTTGACAAGGGTCTGGTTGCCTGTGCCATGGTTGAGCCTGCGTCCAGTGCTTGGAGCCATCAGCATCCCTCAGGTATATCCCATCCCTGCACAGTCGGGAATTCCCTGCCATTCTACATCCCCCATTCCAAAGCTTTCCCCTTGAGGCAGGTGAGCATTGAAACCCTTCCATCGTCCTTGTTGGGAAGGACTTGTAGGATTGGGGTTAGGGCTAAGTAGGGCCTCCACTGCTGTCCCCACCACCCCCAGGATGCAGAGTTAGGGATGAGCCAAGCGCATGGCCAGCCTCTGGCCCCTGTATCCATCCAGCCCTCTCCCGCCTCCGATCCTTGATTCTTCACCGTCCCCATCATGGTGGCCCTGCCTAACCAAGGCCCAGCTTAAAAGCCGCTTCCTCCCTGAACCCTTTCCCAACCCTGCCCATGCATCACTTCAGTTGAATTAGCCAAGGATTTGGTCTCTGTCCTGAAGGTGGCCCTGAGGACATGCTCTAGCAGCTGGCCATGGGGTCCTGGGCCAGGCATCTGCCAGCTCACCCCAGACCCTGCAGTGCTGTGGTCTCCAAGCCTGGGATTTCTCCAGGGCAAGGCAAAGGTGCCCCCTCCCCACTTCGGAACACTTTCATTTTCTTTTTTCTTTTTGAGACAGTTTCGCTCTGTCACCCAGGCTGGAGTGCAGTGGCATGACCTCGGTTCATTGCAACATCCGCCACCCAAGTTCAAGTGATTCTCATGCCTCAGCCTCCCCAGTAGCTGGCATTACAGGTGCCTGGCTAATTTCTATACCTTTAGGAGAGACAGGGTTTTACCATGTTGGCCAGGCTGATCTTGAACTCCAGGTGATCCACCCGCTTCAGCCTCCCGAAGTGCTGAGATTACAGGCATGAGCTGCTACACCCGGCCCCAGCAATTCCATTTTCGAAAACGTGTTTTGCATATTGGGTCCATCCGACAGTTGGTTAAGGGGGACAAATTCAGTACTGAAGACAGCCAAAGCAGAATAGATAGAAAAATGGTTTAAGGCCCGTGTTAGCCTAGCAGAATTTAAAATTTTCCTTGGGGAAACAGGTCATAAAATTGTGCCATAGAAGTCACCAACAGGGTCAGCCACAGTGTCAAACACCTGTAATCCCAACCCTTTGGGAGGCCAAGGCTGGAGGACAGAGGGAGCCCAAGAATTTAAGACCAGTCTGGGCAACAAAGTAAGACCCCATCTCTACAAAAAATAAAATTAGCTGGGTGTGATGATGGTTACTTGCAGCCCCAGCTACTCAGGAGGCTGAAGAGGGAGGATTGCTTGAGCCCAGGAGGTCAAGGGTGACAGAGCAAGGCCCCATCTCTTTAAAAAAAAAAAAAAAAAATCACCAACAGTTAGCAAGGGCTTACTCTGTGCTAGGCCTTGTAATGAAATATCATCTTAGCCTCACAACAGTCCTACAACAAGGTAGGTGCCATCATCCCATTTTACAGATGAAGAAGTAAGCAGAGAAGTAAAGTGATTTGCTCCAGGTCACAGAGGCAGGAACAGTGAAACTTTGGTTGAAACCTGGCAGCTGGGCTCCAGAGCCCGCCTCAGAGCCACCTCGTGCAGTGGCCTCACTGGAGTGCAGGAGTGGAAGTGAGAGGTGCTGTGATGCGAAAGTAGAATGGAAGCTCTCCTTCCAGCAGCAGGCCCCTGAGATGGCTATTGTCCCCCGCCCCCTTCATAAAGGAAGAGAGTGAGGGATTGTCATTGATTCCAGGCCACAAGGGAACCGTGTGGCAGATTTTAACCCAGATCTGCTGGCCTCTAGGACCCTGCCTCTTAATGGAGGGACGTTGCCTAGATACTGGCTGCAGTACAGGAGCACTGAACTCTGGAGGAGGCTGAGCTAGTCCTGGAGCTGGGGAAAAGCATTCCCACAGTGGGCACAGAAAGCCCAGGGGTGTTGAGGGGACATGAAATAGTCCATAGCTAAGGCTCTGCACCTTGCCTTGTGACAAAGGGAGAGAGTCAGAGTTAGGGCAGCAATCCCAAGAAGTCCCCGGCTTGGAGACCCCCAGCAGTGCAGGTCTGGGGTGAGCTGGCACCACCCAGGGCCAGGCTGTCCTGGGAAGTGGTGAGTCTTCCGTCTCAGGACGTGTCTAAAGGAAGCTGGACTAATTTGGAATTGTGTGAATGGGCCCAAGGGATAGCCTGGCTGTCTGCTGGCAGCTTCCAAACCAGAGGATGACAAAAGTATATTCAAAAGCTGTGCAACAAAGGGCCAGAGGGGCTGGGTGTGGCCACAAGGAGGTGGGAGAAAAGGAAGCTTTGAGCAGGGACTGAGACCTGGGCAGGGGGAGGACGGCAGAGACAGACAGATCGAAGTGTGGACAGCACCTGGAGGTGGCAGGAAGCAGCGGGAGGCCAGGGGCCAGGATGATGGGGGCTGGTTACAGAGGAGGAAACTTGGAAATAGGTTTCAGGTGGGGAAGAGGCCAGAAGAATACAGGTTGAGACATAGCAGAAGAGATGTCTGGAAGTGTCAGCATCAGGGAGTCACAGCTATAGGAAGGACAGGAGAGCAGAGAAAGGAAGGGAAATTTAGAAACCCGAAGAGCAAAGTTGTTTCATGCCTTCCAGGAGGGAGGGCTGCTGAGGTGGGAGGGGGGCAGAGAAACATTCTTGGGAGGGGTGCCAGGACCAGGATGGCGGGAAGGGGTGAGAATGCTGTTGGCCACTCTCCATTTTGAGGACCTAAATGAAGGTGGCAGCATCACAGTGATGGTCCCACAGTGTATTTTGGGTGGAGACGGGGTTTCACCATGTCCAGGCTGGTCTCAAACTCCTATTCTCAAGTGATCCGCCCACCTCAACCTCCCAAAGTGCTGGCATTACAGGCATGAGCCACCGTGCCCAGACCGGTTTTGCTTAGAATCCACTCCTTGCCCCATCTCTCCCAGGGGTCTATGAGGAGCTCTCTAATCTTTAATCCATGGCCCTAGGTTCACGGGAGGGGGTTGGGTCAGGATAGGCCATGGGAAATGACTTGGAGATAGTCAGAAAGCTTTGATGTGGCCTCTTGTGCCCAAGATAACCCAGGAGGTTCATGGTCCTGAAGCCAATGGAATCTAGGCCCCAGACCTTCTCATCTCAGTGTGGGCAAAATCTAGCTGTAGAATGGGGTGTTCAGGGGGGCTACCCATAGACAGAGGGTGTAAGACCCTCATCTTGGCACTGGAAGAGTTCAGGCCTCCTCAAACAGATGGGGCCCAGGATGGTAGAGGCAACAGACGACAGAGGGCTGCTCTGCTGTGGCCAGCACATCCCAGAGGTACATGTGGACATGGAGGGCCATGGTTGCTGAAATGGCCATGGGCATTGGACTCTGCTGGAGTGGGGACACCTGGCACCGACTATGCCAGCCTGCACCAGGCACTTTCACTTCCCTTAGAATAGGCCCCTTACACTCTGCTCCCCACAGTTTGCATCGGAAGAAATGGAAGAGACCTGCTTAAGGTCACACACCCAGTGGCAGAGTAGGGACCCTGCACAGGGTGGTCTGTCAGCAAAGACTGCAATCCTTCCTTCCCCTTGGTGCTGAAAAAGAAAGGTTTCTAACTTGCTTTCAAAGTGAGTTCCTATCAGCTCCGTTGTGGGCAGGGTGGGGCTGCTACACATTCTGCAGAGTGGCTGGGGCCAAGTCCAGCCTCTCTAGTCCGCGACGGGGGTGCACCCCGGGGCGCTAGGAGTCCAGGCCGGGTTTTGCATCGGGCCCTGCCGGGTGTTTCCTCCTCCTCAGTGTGGGGCAGCTGCTGGCTGGGGTGCCTGTTGAGTCAGCTTTCTTCCCTCACAGCTCTTCTCCCAGTCCCTGAAACTCGGCTGCCAGGGGAGCTGGAGCCACCTACGAAGGTGTCCTCCCTACAGGTAACACGTTGGTGCCAGGGTCCGGAGATGCAGGCACTGCCACCTGGTATCCTGAGCACCCTCCAGCACCTTGGGGTTGGGGGAGGTGGACGCATGTCTGGGACTGGAACAGCCAGACAGATGGACAGACCTTCCTCTTGACCAATGGATCTGTCCCATGGTGTTGAAACAGCAGGGAAGACCAGACACTTGATTCTGCCTCTGGTAGGAGAGGGGATTTCAGGGAGGGGTCACTGCTGGGGACGCTGGGCTCTGATGTCCATGGCCCAGCCCAGGCCGGCCTGCAGGACAGAGATAGGCTCAGTCCTGCCAAATGTTTCCCTCCTTCCATCCACACTCAGACACACACACCTGGTGGCCCCCAAGGCACCCAGGGACACCCCACAGCACACAGCCCAGTCACATGAACAGCACAGGAGGAAATACACAAAGCACCCTGCACACACCCCACATGGTGCTATCACCCAGAAAGTCACTGAACCCACTACACCGACAATATAGTCACCACACTGCAGCAAGACACAAAGAGACACTCACACAGCAACTCCACAGCTCACAGACCGACATTACACAGACATGCCCAGCAGACTCGGACCCACACAGCCACACCACATGGCACAGAGAGGGACGTGGGCTCACACCCCAATCCACAGGGGAGCCCAAACTGTGTTTTGCAAGACCCAAACCTTGGCCATAGAAGTTCAGGGCAACTGCCCCTGTCAAGCACACAGGTATTCACAGAGTGAATGTACGCGGTGCAGCCACACAGAAGGCTTCGGCTCCTGAGAGTGTCAAGAGGAATCGATGGGGCTCAGCCACTGACTCAGCTGGAAGGGGACAGAGCATAATAGGCAGCAGACACAAGCCAGGACCTGCCTGCCCAGCTGCTTTCCCAGCCCCACCTGGAGCCCTGGCATAGAAGGGGCGGGGAAGAGAGGAGAGGCTGCCCAGTGGGCTCAGGACATAGCCCTGGCCAAGTCATGGGCCCCTTGCCACGTCTCCATGCCCCTTAGTGCTGGGCAAATGTTTTCTTTCCGGAGTCACTGGTAGGAGAGTGGTACTTGTGCCAGCCTAGGCCTCCACTGCCAAGACCCCAGCCTGGTCTCAGGAGAGCCATGTGGCCAGAGCAAAGGGGCCTGGTGACTCCAGGCAAGAGGGTAGGGCTGGTGGCAGGGGCATCCCTGGGTTGGAAGCCTCCATGGGAGTGGGTGCGGCAGTTACCTTGGGGGAGGAAGTTGGGGGTGTGGGCTGAAGAGGAGGTTGCCTCAGACAGGAAGGCCAAATGGGCCAGGGCAGGGTGGAGGTGAAGGGTGGTGGGAGGGGACCCAGGCTATGAGGTTCCTGGGGCTGGGGGGTGAGCAAATGTGTGTTTGTGTGTGTGTGTGTCTAGGTGGGTGGTTGTATGCATGCGTGTGCAGGCATATTTCTGCATTTAATTAATCAAACTTTTACCAACCATCTGTTGTGTGCAAAGTACTGGCTCGGAGAGTGACTCCCTCTCCCTGCCTCCAAGGAGCTTACAACCCAGTGAGCTGGGCAGTGTGTGTGTGCAAAGTCTGTGTGATTTTTGTTTATGTACATCTTTATCGAGGGACATATTTGTCCCCAGACTTGTTCATATATAGGTGAACCCATCCAGTTGGGCCGATCCCCCTTGCTGTGCACATGCTGTACGCAGGTTTATTTGTTTTGAGATGGAGTCTCACTCTGTCACCCAGGCTGGAGTGCAGTGGTGTGATCTCGGCTCACTACAACCTCCACCTCCCAGGTTCAAGTGATTCTCCTGCCTCAGCCTCCTGAGTAGCCTGAATTACAGGCGTGTGCCACCACGCCCAGCTAATTTTTGCATTTTTAGTAGAGATGGGGGTTTTGCCATATTGGCCAGGCTAGTCTCGAACTCCTGACTTCAGGTGATCCTCTTGCCTCGGCCTCCCAAAGTGTTGGGATTCCAGGCATGAGCCACTGCACCTGGCCACTGTGTGCAGTTTAAGAATGTGTGTGCATGTCTCCTGGGCATGGGTCCGGATCGGTGTCTTCAGAGGGCCCTTTGTGGGGGAACAGCTGTGTGTGTACCTGTCATTATGCAGGCATCAGTCTGCATGTGGGACTGTATCTGTGCCTCCATGGATCCATGTGTGCATGTGTGCTGCAGTTCTGTGTGGCCCTACCTCAGTGTGTGCATATGTGTCTCCGTGCTTCTTCAGTTGTGTCCCTGAGTGTGTTCATGGGCCAGTGTATGCATCTGTGCATGAGAACCTCTCATCCCACTTTGAGCTCAGCCGTCCTGGAATAGCACCCCACCCACACTGGGGCAAGTATTTGGGGGAGAAAAGGACTGTTGGCTCCAAGATGTGCCAAGTATTTATGCAGGGCTTGACCAGACCCTCCGTCTGTCCCCAGGAAGTTACGTATGCCCAGGTGGGGCACAGCCCCAGCTGATGCCCCAGAGGGGCCACCCATCTCAAGAGGGGCTTTGGGCTCTGCCCTCTCTCCCCATGGCGCATGGGCCAAAGCCTGAGCCTGAAGGACTGTTGGACCTCAGCTTCCTGACAGAGGAGGAGCAGGAGGCCATTGCTGGTGTCCTCCAACGAGATGCCCGCCTGCGCCAGCTGGAGGAAGGGCGCATCAGGTAAGGCAGGGCAGACCCTTGCCAGGAAGCACTGAGAGGCTTGAGTGGCCCCCACCCTGCTCCCTGCCGACACTCTGCCTGTCAGATGTCTTCGTGGTTCTTGGTTTCGCCCTTTAGTCTCCTCTCCTCTGACCCTGGCCAGCTCACAGCTCGTCACTTCAGGGGTGAGCTCCAGCTTTCTCACCAGCCTCTCTGCCTCCAGACTTGCCTCTTGGGCCCACTTCCTGCAGCTCCCCAGATCTGTCCTTTTTTTTTTTTTTTTTTTTTGAGACAGAGTTTCATTTTCTTCAGCTCACTGCAACCTCTGCCCCCTGGGTTCAAGCGGGCCGTACCTCAGGTTGTGTGCATGTGTGTCTCTGTGCTGCTCCTCCTGCCACAGCCTCCTGAGTAGCTGGCATTATAGGCGCATGCCACCACGCCCAGCTAAATTTTGTATTTTTAGTAGAGACGGGGTTTTCCCATGTTCAGGCTGGTCTCAAACTCCTGACTTCAGATGATTCGCTTGCCTTGGCCTCCCAAACTGCCAGGATTACAGACATGAGCCACCAGACCCAGGCAGATCTGTCCTTAATATCCCTGCTGAAACCTCCCCTGGCTCTCCAGCCTCTAGTGTCAAGGGCAAGCTCCCAAGAGGTCCACTGGGCCTCCCTGGTGGGTCCTTGCCAGCCCCCACCATCTCCTCTTCCACCGTAAGCCCTACCCGACACATACATAAAATGACCTCTAGCCACGCAGGTGCTCCCCAGCCCCTGACACACCCGTCACTTCTATGCCTATGCTGGTACTTCTTCCTGGAAGAGCACAGTGGTAGAAGAGCATGGGTGTTACAGCAATGTTTAGGGACAAACACTTCCTAACTATGTAGCCTTGGGTAGCTCACCTGACCTCCTCGAGTACCATGCTCCTCGCCTGTAAAATGGGGCTAAGGAGTCCTACTTCATTGATTTAAGAGGAATTGGACAGGCACAGTGGCGATGCCTATAATCCTAGAACTTTGCGAGGTAGAGACGGAGGATTGCTTGAGCCCAGGGATTCAATATCAGCCTGGGCAATACAGTGAGACCCCACTTCTACAAAATATAAAAAATTAGCCTGGCATGGTGTTATGTGCCTGTAGTCCCAGCTATTCAGGAGCTCAGGTGAGAGGATTGCTTGAAGCCAGGAGGTGAGGCTGCAGTGAGCTATGATCATGCCACTGCACTCCAGCCTGGGCAACGGAGTGAGACCCTGTCTCAAATAAAATAATAATAAGTATAATAATTGTCCTTCTCTACCTGGAGAATTCCAATTTGTCTTTTAAGAAGCAATTCAAGGCTGGGCACTGTGGCTCATGCCTGTAATCCTAACATTTTGGGAGGCTTAGGCAGGTGGATGACTTGAGTCTAGGAGTTAGAGACCAGCCCAGGCAACATGGAAAAGCCCCATCTCTACAAAAAAATACAAAAAATTAGCCGGGCATGGTGGCATGTGCCTGTAGTTCCAGCTACTTGGGAGACTGAGGTGGGAGGATCACTTGAGCCTGGGAGATGAAGGTTGCAGTGAGCTGAGATTGTGCCACAGCACTCCAGCCTGGGCATAGAGGGAGACCCCAGCTCAAAATAAGTAAATAAATAAATAAATAAAGGCGATTCAAATGTCACCTCCTCTGGGAAGTCCTCCTGGATTCTCACAGGCAGAGCTGGCTCTTATTCTATCACATCATCTAACTCACTACAGTGTACTTGTCTTTTCTAGACTTGGTCTCCCCAGCAGCCTGAGCTCCTCCATAGCACACATCAAGTCTGACTTGCTGTTGGGTCCCTGGCCCGTGGTCCCAAGCCTGGTACCATGTGGGTGGTGGGAATGTTGCTTGGATGAGTCATGACAACCACACCCTCCCCCTTCCTCCAGCAAGCTCCGGGCCTCACTGGAAGACCTTGGGCAGCTGAAGATCCTGACAGGGGACTGGTTCCAGGAAGCACGCTCCCAGCGGCATCACAATGCCCACTTCGGCTCTGACCTTGTTCGAGCCTCTATGCGTAGGAAGAAGAGCTCCAGGGGTGAGAGGAGATCCTCCTGGCAGGGCAAGCCATGTGCCATCCAGGGCACTGGCTGTATGTGGACAGGGAGAGAGGGCCCAGGGCTCCAGTCCTGGCTGCCCCCAGTACTGTGTATCTTTGAGTGGGCAATGCCCCTCCGTGGGCATGGGGTGGGTGGGCATCTCCAGGGCCTCTTCTGAGTTACAGCCAGGCTTCCTGAACATGGGGGTTCACAGAACTTCTCACCTGCCCCCAGGAGACCAGGCTCCAGGCAGCGACGGGGAGGCCAAGGCTGCTGTGAAAGAGAAGGAAGATGTGCCAGAGCCCAGGTGAGGAGGGGTCTCAGGGAGGGGGAGACCATGACCACCAGTCACCAGAGTCCCTCCCTCTGAGAGTGTCCTCTCCCTACTCCTAGGCTCTCCATTGATGAGGCCCCCCAGGAGAGGCTCAGGGAGACTGAGGTAAGAGTGAATGAGCCAATATGTGAGTACAGTGTCCCTGGTGAGGAGGTGGAATGTGCGGGGGGGGGCAAGAGGGAAAGGTCCCAGTGGGGAATGGGGAGACCCTGGACATGTCCCTTCCTGTGTCTGTGCCTCAGCATCTCCTGGGTGGAACAGTGGTTTGAGCCTCTGAAGGAACTTCTGAATCTAGCTATTAGGGGTGAAGTGGGGCTGGGCACGGTGGCTCTCACCTGTAATCCCAGCACTTTGGGAGGCTGAGGCAGGAGGATCACTTGAGCCCAGAAGTTCAAGACCAGCCTGGACAACATAGCAAAATGCCCCCCATCTCTATAAAAAATTAATAAAAGGCTGGGCGCAGTGACTCACACCTGTAATTCCAGCACTTTGGAAGGCCAAGGCAGGCAGATAACCTGAGGTCAGGAGTTGGAGACCAGCCTGACCAACATGGAGAAACCCCATCTCTGCTAAAAATACAAAATTAGCCGGGCGTGGTGGCGCAAGAGGCTGAGGCAGAAGAATCGCTTGAACCCGGGAGGTGGAGGTTGCAGTGAGCGGAGATCGCACCATTGCGATCTCCAGCCTGGGCAACAAGATGGAAACTCCATCTCAAAAAAAAAAGTTGTTTACCAATGGGTCAGTATTTTAAAAAAAATCAAATAAAAGGAGTGAGGAGGGACTGCTCTAGCAGAGGTGGAGGACTCAGGTATGAATGCCTCCACCAATGGGAGCAGGGAGTCAGGCAGCACAAGCCCTGCGGGGTGGCCTGTGAAGCACAGGTCCCACAGCTCCTGCAGCTGGCTGCCAGCCCTGCTCCAGTACTGCCCTAAACCTGAAATTAGGGTAGCTGGCTGGAGCCTGTGACCTCTGACCCCAACATGACCTTTGACCCCTTCCTTACCAGCCCCTCCACTGTGACCTCTACCCCTTCCATCCTTTAGGGACCTGATCTCCCATCGCCTTATGTCCCTCTAAAGGCTTCAGATCCCGAGGAGGCATCCCAGGCCCCGGAAGGTGAGTGGGAGTGCCTGTTGGGGAGCATGGAGAGGTTTCCGGGGTCAGAGGCACCTCTAAGGGGCCCCAACCACCTCTGTTCACCCTCCTTCCCGCCACTCCCACCCCACATCGGAGGTGGGGATGACCCCAGGGCAGCACAGGGGCCTGAATCTGCAGCTCGCTGGGGTTGTAAACGTGTTCTCCAAATTTGCTCAGGGGCGGGCAGGAGAGGGTTCGCTCAGCATCTCGTGCCCCACCCCAGGCCCTGGCCAAGGGGAGCTGCAGATCTGTGCCGAGGAGGCGGACCCGGAGCCGGAGCCCGCGTCGGGGGGAGAGCAGGAGCCCGGGCCCCCGCTAGCCCAGGTAGGTGGGAGTGGCCCGCGGCTGCTCTCAAGAACCGGAGCGGATTCCGGGCGGGGAGCGCTCCTGACCAGACCTGCGAGCAGCCGGCGACCTAGGGCGCTCGGGGCAGGGGCGGGGAAAGAAGGGGCGCCCCGTCATTTGCCCCCTCTGCAGACCAAGGCCGCATCCCAGATCCTGGAGAACGGGGAGGAGGCCCCAGGGTCCGACCCCTCACTCAACTGCATGCTCAGCAGCAGCTCCTCCGTGTCCAGCCTTAACTCCTCCACGGTGAGGCGGGAGGGAGGGGGCCTGGGCGGCGGGGGAGGTGGACACGCCTCGACGCGTAGCCCCTGCCAGCCCCTCCCTCGCCGTGGGACCCAACGCTGCAGACCCCCAGCATGCCACCCATGATCCGGATCTGAACACTCCGCGCTCCCCACACGGGCCCCGACGTGAGCCCTGCGAGTGGCCCTGATTCCCACCCACTCCTGCCCGCAGCTGAGCGGCAGCCAGATGAGCCTGTCCGGCGAGGCGGAGGCGGTGCAGGTGCGCGGCTCCGTGCACTTCGGGCTGCACTACGAGCCGGGCGCTGCCGAGCTGCGCGTGCACGTGATCCAGTGCCAGGGCCTGGCTGCCGCCCGGCGCCGCCGCTCCGACCCGTGAGTGCCCGGCCCGCCAAACGGGGCGCGGCTGTCTCATCCAAGCGCACCATTCACAGGGTCTCGGCCTCCTCGTCCTCATCTTCAAAATGGGAACAGCAGCGTTATTGGGAGGCGTGGGATTGAGCGAGACAATCCCTGTAAAGCGCTTAGCACTAGGCCTGGCACGTGTTCGGGGTGGTGGCTGGGGGAGCGCACAAGGTAAAGGAGAAGGCTCTGAGAGGGCTCCTCCTCACCTCCGATTCTCACCTCCCCAGCTACGTCAAAAGCTACCTCCTCCCGGATAAGCAGAGCAAGCGCAAGACGGCGGTGAAGAAACGGAATCTGAATCCAGTTTTCAATGAGACTCTCCGGGTGAGGCTGTGACCACCGTGCAGTTCCCTGTTAATGAACAGGACGCCCCTTCCTGCGGAGCGAGGTGGCAGGAGCAGCCAGTACCGTCACTGCCCGGTGGATGGGCAGGGCGGGCCCCGTTAACGCGTTGTCCAGGGTGCCAGCCTTATGGTGGGCGTGGTGATAGTCCAGACCCCTACTAATGCCCTTCGGGGCTCCCCAGGATTCCATTGTGCTAGGAACGCGGTAGGACCCTCCCCAGCCAACTCTCGCAGCATCCACGCAGGCTACTAGCAGTGCTCCGCTAAAGCGCGCCTCCTGTCCCCAGTACTCCGTCCCGCAGGCTGAGCTCCAGGGCCGCGTGCTGAGCCTGTCCGTGTGGCACCGCGAGAGCCTGGGTCGCAACATCTTTCTGGGCGAAGTTGAAGTGCCTCTAGACACGTGGGACTGGTGCTCTGAGCCCACCTGGCTCCCCCTGCACCCCCGGGTGAGGAGCCAGGGACGCGCGGGGAGACCTGCGGCCCGGGTCTCCTGAATTTACCCCACCAGGCTCTCCCGCAGCTCCCTCAGACCCCATCTTCGACAGAGCCTCCCCTCAACCTCTTAACTTCAGGGCCCCTTCCCTGAGGGTGCTGGGATCCCTAGGGTCCGCCCCTGCAGGCCCAGCGGTCTCTGCTAACCGCCTCCCATCGAGGTCTGCAGACCCCACCCTCCTGAGGCCCCTTTCCATTGGCCCCTGCTCCACGACAAGCCCGCCTCTCGCAGGTCCCACCCTATCCCGACGACCTTCCCAGCCGAGGGCTTCTCTCCCTGTCCCTCAAGTACGTCCCAGCTGGCTCTGAGGGTGAGTGGCAGCCGGAGAGGCCAAGCTGGACCCGCCCTGAAAAACGGGAGACTCCTGTCAACGGGTTGGGGGGCAGTGGACTCCATCCGTGCGCGGGACTGAGCCAAGCGTCTCGGCAGGCGCAGGACTGCCCCCGAGCGGGGAGCTGCACTTCTGGGTGAAGGAGGCCCGGGACCTTCTGCCGCTGCGGGCAGGCTCCCTGGACACTTACGTACAATGGTGAGGAGTGCTGGCCCTCCCGGCTTCCCTTTCTTTTGCTTGGATTGGAGTGACCAACCTTGACAAACCCCTACTAATCAACCCTTGATCAGGCAGCTCGAGCTTTCACCAAGGAGCAGGGGGGAAGGGGACGGTTTGAGCAAAGGCCTGGAGTCAGGAAAGGTGAGGACACCTTTGAGGAGCTGCGTTTCAGCAGGACTGGCACCTGTAGATCTTGTTGAAGAGCTGAGGCTAAGGGCTTCAGGGGTCCCTCCATAGAGAACCTGGGAGGCCAGGCTGTAGGGCCTGGCCCCAAACTTAGAGTTCAGTGGTTTTCTAAGCTTCCAGGGGACCTCTAGGGGTTCCTCCAGGTGCTGCCCCACCCTTAGAGAGTGAAATGGAGGTGGCCGATCACTTCTGGGTGTCCACCCTGATGCAGCCAGAGACGTTCTTTCTCTCAGGTACTGTACTTCTGAGCAACACTGTATATTGTAGAGGGGGGTCCGAGGCTTTGAAAACCTTGGAAATAGGCCTGGCTCGGTAGCTCATGTCTGTAATCCCAGCACTTTGGGAGGCTGAGGTGGGCGGATCACCTGAGGCCAGGAGTTCAAGACCAGCCTGACCAACATGGTGAAACCCTGTCTCTACTAAAAGTACAAAAAATTCGCCGGGCATGATGGTGGGCGCCTGTAATCCCAGCCACTTGGGAGACAAGTGGGAGAATCGCTCAAACACAGAAGGTTGCAGTGAGGCAAGATCGCCCCACTGCACTGTAGCCTGGGCGAGAAAGAGCTAGACTCTGTCTCAGAAAAACAAAACAAAACCTTGGAAACTGTTTGAGGAGGGTGGTGGTGGAACAACAGGAAGATAATGAAAGTCACTGAGTCAGCGAGTAGCAGAACTGCATTTCAGAAACATTGCTCTGCAGCCTGTGAATAGGGCTGCAACCTTTTTCTTTTTCTTTTTTTTTAATTAGACCGAGTTTTGCTCTTGTTACCCAGGCTGGAGTGCAATGGCGCGATCTCGGCTCACCGCAACCTCCGCCTCCTGGGTTCAGGCAATTCTCCTGCCTCAGCCTCCTGAGTAGCTGGGATTACAGGCACGCGCCACCATGCCCAGCTAATTTTTTGTATTTTTAGTAGAGACAGGGTTTCACCATGTTGACCGGTATGGTCTCGATCTGTTGACCTCGTGATCCACCCGCCTCGGCCTCCCAAAGTGCTGGGATTACAGGCTTGAGCCACCGCGCCCGGACAACTTTTTTCTTTTTTTGAGATGTAGTCTGGCTCTGTTACCTAGGCTGGAGTGCAATGGCATTATCTCAGCTCACTGCAGCTTCAGCCTCCTGGGCTCAAGCAATTCTTGAGTAGCTGGGATTACAGATACATGCCATCATGCCCAGCTGATTTTTGTTTTCTTTTGTTTTGTTTTTTTGAGACGGAGTTTTGCTCTTGTTGCCCAGGCTGGAGTGCAATGGTGGTATCTTGGCTCACCGCAACCTGTCTCCTGGGTGTAAGCAATTCTCCTGCCTCAGCCTCCTGATTAGCTGGGATTACAGGCATGTGCCAACACACCTGGCTAATTTTGTATTTTTGGTAGAGACTGGGTTTCTCCATGTTGGTCAGGCTGGTCTTAAACTCCCGACCTCAGGTGATCCGCCCTCCTTAGCCTTCCAAAGTGCTGGAGTTACAGGTGTTAGCCACCGCACCCAGCCCATTTTTGTATTTTTAGTAGAGATGGGGTTTTGCTATGTTGGCCAGGCTGGTTGCTTGAATCCAGAACTTCTGACCTCAGGTGATCCACCAGCCTCAGCTTCCCAAAGTGCTGGGATTACAGGCGTGAGCCACTGTGCCTAGCCAGGAGCTTTTAAAGCCAGGAGACCTGAGACACAGTTAGTGCAAAGGTCCCAGGGCAGTGAGGGTCTGAGGCCAGGCAGGCAGGAGCCAGGGCGCATGGACACATGTGAGGGAGAATGAGTGGTGTATGGTGACTGGATGACTCTAGCGAGTGTGAGGGGTGGTCACCTGATGCCAGGCCACCTCCCGCACAGCTTCGTGCTGCCTGATGACAGCCGGGCCAGCCGCCAGCGTACAAGGGTTGTGCGACGCAGCCTCAACCCCGTGTTCAACCACACCATGGTGTATGACGGCTTTGGGCCTGCTGACCTGCGCCAGGCTTGTGCTGAGCTCTCCCTCTGGGACCATGGGGCCCTGGCCAGCCGCCAGCTGGGGGGCACACGTCTCAGCCTGGGCACTGGTAAGTGGGGCAGGGCCCTGAGAGGTGGGGGTTCAGTATGTGGCCTTGGACACCTCCCTGTCCTTTCCTGAGCTTTGGTATCTACTGAGAACTGAGGAAGTTAACTGGGGACAGTGCATAATCTGGGACCAGGCAGGTGTCTGTGGGCCCCAAGGTGTCCAATGTGATTATGCCCTCAACCCCTGCCCACCCACATCCAGGCAGCAGCTATGGGTTGCAGGTGCCCTGGATGGATTCCACACCAGAGGAGAAGCGGCTGTGGCAGGTCCTCCTGAAGCAGCCGTGCGAGTGGGTGGATGGCCTTCTACCACTCAGAACCAACCTGGCCCCCAGGACATAGCCCGATCAAACCTCTCTCTCTGGACCCCCATCTCAGGGCCTGCCCTCGGCTAAAGTCAATAAAGTCTGTTCTAAGGGCAATAAAGGACTCGTCTGCTGGGTGATTGCAGGAAAGAACCAGGGAAATAAGACGGGCCAGGTTAAGGAACTTCAGACTCTGCCACAAAGACTTCAGAGAAGCCAGGCACAGTGTCTCACGCCTGTAATCCCAATGCTTTGGGAGGCTGAGGCAGAAGGATTGCTTGAGCACAGGAGTTCAAGACCAGCCTGAGCAACATAGAGAGACCCCCATCTCTGCAAAAAATTTAAAAATTAGCTGTAGGTGGTAGTGTCACATGCCTGTAGTCCTAGCTACTTCGGAGGCTGAGGCAGGCAGGTTGCTTGCACTCAGGAGTTAGAGACTGCAGTGAGCTATGCCACAAAGCAAAAAGCTATTTCTAAAACAAAAATATTTAAATATTAGCTGGGTGTGGTGGTGCACACCTGCAGTCCCAGCTATTCAGGAGGCTGAGGAGGAAGGATCACTTGAATCCAAAAGTTCGAGGCTGCATGAATATAATCATGCCACTGCACTCCCAGCCTGGATGACCTCTGTCTCCCAAGCAGCTGGGACTATAGGCATGTGACACCACCACCTGCAGCTAATTTTCAAGCAATTCTCTTGCCTCCGCCTCCTGAGTAGCTGGGATTTATAGGTGTGCACCACAAACACCCAGCTTTTTGTATTTTTAGTAGAGACAGGGTTTCACCATGTTGGTCAGGCTGGTCTCAAACTCCTGACCTTGTCATCTGCCTGCCTCAGCCTCCCAAAGTACTGGGATTACAGGCAGGAGCCACTGCCCCCAGCCTAAAAAACTTTTTTAAAAAAGTCCTCAGGGGGCTGTTCCCAGGATACCCCTCCCCAAATACACCTCTGAAATTGCCAGCACAAATGTGCAAAAGTGTTCTGTTTAATACACTTTGTCTGGTGGTGCTTGGGTGCCGATGGTTGGCTTCTCTCACTGGGACCAGTCCTGGCCCCTATTTGCCTGGTTTCCTCCAGTCGCCCCAGGTATCCTGGGGCTGGTGTGTCAGAAGCTGCCTTTGTCCTCTCCATTCATCCATCCTTGGATCTCTCTGGCCTCTGATGCCCTCATTCAGCCTTCCAGGGTCCAGGGGTGACTGACGTGGATTCTGTTCGCTGTGCCAAGATGGCCCTCCAGATGCGGCATACCATCCCTCCCCTGGGGGTAGCAGACTCAACGTGGCACAGCCAGAAGGTGGTCCTGGACTCTCTCTGTCACCCACTGTCTGCCCAGTGCTGCCTCTGTCCCTAGGGGACCCAGGTGCCCCTTTGGTTTCCAGGAAGGAACCTAAGCAGGCCTGTAGCTGGCCAGCACGAGGCCACATACATGATTCACCTTTGAGGGGCCCAGGATGTACCTGATTCGGGTGTAGACGAGGTCATCTCGAGTGGCATAGGTGAGCAGGATGTGGAGGGTGAAGCTGTGATTCAACAGCTGGATGTGGATAAAGACCCGCAGAGACAGAGTAAGAAGAAATTACAAAAAGATGTGTCCAGAGACCCAGGTACTAGCTCTGCTCTGCTGCCAAAATACTGAGGCAGATCACATGCTTCTGGGTCTCAGTTTTCTCATCCATACAATGGGAAGAGTATACTAACTGTTCTTCCGGTATTGAGATTCTCTGCATCAGAGGGCACAGTGAGAAGAGCAGGAAGATGGACAGAGACGGAGGCTTTGGCCAATGAGGTCATGGACAGCCAAGCACTCCCTGCCTCACCATTTGGATGGTGCCTGAATCCACGTTCAGTTCCTGTAGCCACTGCACCAGGCCCTGGTCCATTGAAAGAGCAGCTGTCAAGAAGCAGTCAGATGATGAGGCCCAGGGTGCCTCCTGCTAGAAGCTGCCTCACATTCACAATAGTGTTCTCCAGCCACACCCACTCACCTGGGGGCTCTGAGGCTCGGGCACAGGTCCCAGCTTCCTCATTCACCCTCTGCAGAGCCCGCTGCACCAGGGCCTGGTACTCCCGTTCTTTCCCCGCCAGGACTTCCCGAAGCCTGTCGGGGGCAGAAGAGTAGAGTGGAGTAGGGATTGGTGAGTGGATTGAAGCCCGGCAGAGGCTATGAGCGATTCCAAGGGGCTTTACCGATCAGTCTCTGCCCGAAGGAGGCTCAGCTGCACCAACAGAGGAGGGGGGCCCTGCTCGGGCTCCACTGGAAGCGGCCTCTGCCGGGAGTCCCCTTCTTTTCTCAGCTCCTCTGACCTCGGTGAGACCACCTCCTTCTCCACCTCTGCAGCCCAGTGCAGTGAACTTAGGCAAGGCTACAAAGCCCGTTTGGGACCCCCAGATCCCAGCAAGGGAGTGCGGGGATAGGGTGCCTGGCTCTGGGCAGGGCCCAGGCGGTGCTGATATGGGAGATGTCCATTTAGTCACGCCCCCACCGGCGCCTGCCCACCCCCCGTCCCGCCTGTCCCCCACCGGCCCCATTCGGCGTTCACCGCGCCCAGCAAGCACCACACCCTCGCTGGCAGGAGGCCCGCGACACTCCCCTCCTACCCTGGCCTAGCACAGCCAGGGCTGCCCTCACAGCACGGCTGAGCAGCGAGTCCAACACGAACATCCAATGTGGGCGGATCTGGCGCCTGCGGAGGATCTGCTTCACCTGCAGAGGGAGGGAGGGCGCCTCTGAGACAGCCGAGCCTCAACTAGAGGCAGGGCTTGAGTCGGAAAGGCCTGGGAAGTCTTCTGCGGAAGGCAGGTGGGGAGAGCGGGCTTGAGGTCTAGGGATGGGCTGGGAAGCTAGGACTGGGCAGACGGTTTTTTGCTGAAGGCCTGATCTTCACGGAGGAGACAGAGAATCTTGGAACATCAAGCCCTGGCACCTTCCCAGGCACGGGGAGCTCACTGCCTGTTTCCGGGCAGCCCTAACTACCAGGGGGCGCCCTCACCACATCCGGGAAGGCGAAGAGCGGGGCGTGCAGAAGTGCGGGCCCAAGGCCCTGGGCCCGCAGCCGTCCTTGCAGCACCCGCAGCTCCTGGGCCAGATGCCGGCGGTTGGGAGTGTGAATGTGTGCCCCGAGGCAGCGCAGCAGCTGTTCCACATGATTTCTGCCCAGACGGGACACCTGAGAAGGAAGAGCGGGGTTGTCAGCGCCTGTTCGAGCCAAAAGAGATGCTGCCGCGGAGGTGGAGTGGCAGGGAGTGCGGGGAAGACCTCAACAGTGTCCTGACCCTGTGCGACCACCAGGGGGCGCTAGGGCGGACCGCCCACCTGCTCCTGCTCCTGGTGCAGATTCTCCGCCAACGCAGGCAGCTCCTGCTCCAGCACCGCAGCCAGCATGGCCCGACGCTTGCTCTCCTGGTGCAGCAGGCTCAGTCCTGAACTCTCCTCCGGAGAGGCAGGCTCCTCGGCCGCAGGCTCCTCGGGCACGCTGGGCACAAGGGCGAGCGGCTGATTGAAAACAGGCAGCAACCGGCCAGCCACCTCTGCTGCCAGGTTTGAATCCTGGCTCTCCTACTTTTATGCTTTTCTCTCAGGGATGAACATAGATAAACCCCACACTGAGAGGACACAAGAAGTCCAAGTTAGAGTTTCCAGGACAGGACATGGGGAGGCACCAAATGCCACATTCACAAGTGGTCAAGATGCCCAGGCCCCCAAGGAGAACTTTCGTAGGATGGGATAAAAAGGCAAAACCAGGCAAAGGGAAGCCATCCTAGGAGCCTAGGTCTCACCGGAGCTGGCTGGTGCCCCCAAAACTGAGGCAGCGCTTTGGGGGGTTGGGCGGGTGCTGAGAGGGTGCCTGAGGGCACGGGAGTGTCTGAGACTGGGTGGTTGAGTCAGCTGAAGGAGTGGGACTGGCGGAAGGGGCATCTGAGGGAAGGACAGAGCTGTCAGCTGGGCCCTCTTTCGCCCTCACAGCTCCAAAGCTCCTCCACCGCCAGCATGCCCATCCCACCATCCCCAAGCACCTGAGGGCTGTGGAGCATGTCGGGGGGAGCTGGGGCTGCGGCTCCTCTTCCCAGGCTGCAGAAAGGGGTCCCCCAGCAGTGCCTGGGCGCTGGCTCGGAGGCGGGGGTCTGGCTCGAAAGTTCGGAGGAGGAAGGCTTGGGCCTCAGCCGACAGAGAACTGGGCATTGGTGGATGCACCTTGTACATACCCACCTGCAGGCGGAGGGCAAACAAGGGTGACATTCAGAGGTGTCCAAGGCCCAGGCTGGCCCTATGCCACCTCCACGGGCCAGGCCTAGAGGGGTCTCACCTGAAACATGGCAGCCTGTGGGCTCCCTAGCTCGTGGAAGGGGGGGTGACCCGTGGCCATCTCGATGACAGTGCAGCCCAATGACCAGATGTCAGCTGCTTTCCCATACCCACGTGGGCCCTGGTCAATGATTTCTGGGGCCATATACTGCAGAGTTCCTAGGACAGGAGCAGGAGCAACAATACCCATCTAGGCTTTATCATGGGGTAGGAGCGGGGAGGGGAATGCCATCATCCTCAGGCTGACGGCACCCATACTGAACCTACCGTCCAAAACGTAGCTCAACACCTATCCTCCTGGTCATCAAACATCTATCCTGAGTTCCATCACCGTCCCTCACACATCCTGGACTGCATCTTCCCCTGAACTCCATCACCCGCCTTTTCCTCCAACTCCCACCTTGACCTACATCAACACTCCTCAAGTGCTAAAATCAACTTCATCAGTTATCCAAGCTCCAATTCTAAATGCCATCACCTCACCCCTGGCCCAATCACTCACCCAGGATTTCATTCCCCATTAGGACTCTAATTCCATGCCTAGGAGAAACCCCATTCCCTGGAAAGCTCCAAAAGATCTTTTGCCCCAGATCAGCATCCCCACTCACCACCCCACACCTCATTACCTGTGAAGGTCTCAGTGCAAGGCGTGATGCCGGCCAGCCGCTTGGAGGTGCCAAAGTCAGAAATCTTGAGCAGCCCACTGAAGGTGTTGATCAGCACGTTGTCCCCCTGATTGATAGTCATTAGTGGACACTGGGCTGGGTCCCTGACAGCAGAACTAGACCCTCTTTCTGGGATCCCATCTCCTGG